CTTTTTTAAGGATCAAATCCATTTTTCTTTACAATGGTATATGTTGTATTTGAGTTTAAAGACGGATCACATTTCCCGTAGTTTCCTTAACTTCTACCTCTTATATGGCGTCTGTAAACGGTATTTGGCAACATTTAAAAATTGTCGAAATTGATATGAATTGCAATAAAGTATTTCATTAGCAATTATTGTTTTCTCTATCTACCAACCATTTCATAAACTGCTCAGTTTCATTAATACTAAGGTTTAGTATCCATGGAGAAATTGTATTATATCCCTTTAGACTGAATACAGGGGCTGATGAGTCGACATTAGCACATCCGCAATACACAATATCCTCGCATTTTATCATGAACAACTTGAAATTAATGTTTTTTTTTAATTTTTCAATATTTTATTACCAAAGGGCAAAGTTACCAAGTGGCAATTGCCATGTTCTTATATGACTTTTGCCACTCGATGTCAGTTCCTATAATTGACCAATTTGTATAACTGAAAAGTCCTACTTGGATACATGTCTTTTTTTGGAAGTTGTTTAAAGAAAAAGGTATTATAAATCCCTGAAACTGCGAGCTGCGGATGTGCCCTTGATTCTGTCACCACAATTTTTAAAGGATCATCTAGTTTTATGGTTAGAAAATATCTCAATACGGTTCAGAAGGAGCGATTGCCATGACCAACATTTTCAAATAATTGGTCATTTTAGTATTTAGAAAAGAAGCTGAACTAAACATACAAAATTTTGTTTATGTTTTAGAGAAAGGGAGGTGGTGCAATAAAGAAAGTATTGGAGTAGCTAGGTGTTCGCTGTGGGAGGTTAAGACTAGTAAAAATGGGGTAAATTATATATTTTGAGTTGGCACGGTAATCTTACAATCTGCAGTGTCTTATATTATAAAGCTCTAAAACACACAGAGTAAGGTTTTAGTTCCGAATTTTCGGAAAATATATTTCGGTCTGGGTTGACCCTCTTCAGTTCATGAGATTTGTTTCTGTCATGAGGATTCAACACAATCTGTACCCTCCATGATTTCCTTCTCACCATTAAATTAAAATCCACAAACTTTAAAGATTTGATTTTGAACTGTATACTTTGAAATTGAGTCTTTGGAACAAAATTAAATATTTAAACCTCAAAATCTTTTGAACCGAATGTTGTAAACCTTTGATATTTCAAACTCAGATTATTTGATCTAACAGAATTCATAGTTTGAAATATCTAAGGTCTGCAACATTTGGTTCCAAAGACATAGTGATCAGAAAATCAGAGTTTGTGGCAAAGACTCAATTTCTCTATTTGTTTAAAAAAGGAAAACTTTTAATTTTTATCTAGTAGATGTTGAATTGGTACATTTCCAATCTTTACTTCATTCATATTTTTACTTTATCATTAAGTAATTTAAAAATTAGGTTACAGTTAGAGATGTAAAGATTACAGAACGAATTCAATGTAATAATTTACAGTAAAAAGTTGTGTTAATTTACCCCTTCTGTGCCAGATTGGATAAAAGAATATGAAAGAATAAAAGTTAAAACTTTAAACGATAAAATCACATTTTTAAGGATTGTTGTTCTATTTTCCATTAACCATCAGCTTGATCAATAATGATGAAGATAATATTGTTTTTCTAGGTCGAAAAGTGTTCAATTATAACATCAAGATATTCAGGTTTTTCTGTTGTAAAAATTCGCAAGTCAATATCTGTGAAAAGCCACAATAGAAAAAAATAAATCTATAAAGCTCGATCCACGGATATCATATTCATTCTTGGGCATTCAATGCTCTTCAGGTTATCACTGTGAATCAGACATGCTATTCTATGAATGAAGAGTAACTAAGATTAATTAAGCCTTCAGTCTATTAAACTAAAATTTTGTTAAGTGTAAATGTTTAAACCCTAACTTTCTTAATTTTAAATACTATAAAGTAAGCCTGGTTTTCGAAACCATAATCGTCTAAAGATTTGGTTCCAGGTGAGAAGGTTATAAAAAGTAGTTTTATTATTACTCCCAACCCTACGGGATACTGGATTCAATACCCTTAAACTCTCCATTAGTGTGTAGTCTAGTAGCAACATATACTTTTTATTCAACAAGATTTATTGAGCGCCCCAAATATCGCAAATAAATCACAAAGTATAAAATACTGCAATGAAACTTGGTCTATTATGGGTCTAATGGCCGGGGTGGGGTAAGTGTAAATTATGGAGAAAAAATACAATTTTTGTCGTTTTTCATCTTTTATAGTTAAATAATGGAATGGGAACGATACTGAGATTTATTTCTTTATTATTCTCATTTTTTCAAACTTTCTTTTTCTCTTATCAATATTATTTTGCACATCCTTTTTAACCACAAAAGAGGGGTCCTTCTTCTGCTTGTTTATTGACCCCCCCCCCTTGCTTCTGAAAAAAAACCAATCGTGATTTTACTTTTAAAACTTAGGTTAGGTTAAGATCAATAGATAGTCACGGAAGGATTGCTTTTTTCAGGAAGGTGGAGAGTGGTGTGGGGGGGGGGCAGGGTACACGGCACAATAAATAACAAATCACCTTAATGAGATAGAAAATGATAAAATGATAAAATAAGGAAAATGATAAAATAAGGAAAATGATAAAATGAGGGAAATGATAAAATAAGGAAAATGATAAAATAAGGAAAATGATAAATTCTTGTTCTTCTTGTTCTTCTTGTTCTTCTTGTTCTTCTTCTGTTTCCTAAGCTTTTCCTCCTTCTGTTTAGATTTATTTTTAATTCTTTTTTCCTTTTCTTCTTATTTTTTCCATATTTTTTTATCTTTTTTAATTCTATTTATTTGTTCTAGTAATTTTTCTTCTTATAAATTAGAATATTAATAGATAGATAGATAGATAGATAGCAAAAAAGATAGATAAACAGAAAGATAGATAGAAAGATAGATAGATAGAAGTAGATTAAAATATTGTGTTGAATCCATGAATTTATCTAGTGTGAAAGTATGCGAAGAATAGAGTATTTGATTTGCAAATGCACAGACAGAGCGCATAAAAGGGGGGCGGGGGAGGGAGGGGGTAGGATTTTGAAGGGGGGGGGAGATAAAGAAAATTGAGGGTGTGAAAAGGGGGAGGGACAAATGTGTTGCAAAATGATAAAGGGGGTGCAAATAATGAAAGGCCGGTAAATGAGCTTTAAATAGTGTGAGTGGATTAAGTAACTAAAAAGGGGCGTGTCAAGAAGGGGGCGGGACTGAATAATTCTACAATATATTCTTGAATGTGGGAACTGAGTTTGTAATGTTGTGAAAGATTGGAAAGGGTGGGAATGAAATAGAAGGAAAAAACTATAATAATTCTTAAAATTCAAGCTTTGTGAAGATAACTGTCTTGATACCTTCACTGTAATTTATTCATACATTCAAACTTCTCTTTATATGAAACAAATTCATTTTTTAAAAATCTTTGGATCTGTCCACCCCAATTTGAAGTGATATATGCCCTTTGCACAAAGGTACCCTATGCACACTATACCGTCGTTTTTCTGGCTTGAAAATATGAAATGAGTCCTGCAGTACACAACAATTAAATCAGTTTTCAGATAGAAAAAGCAAGGATACCTTAAACAAAGGAATACCATTGTGAATAGGACATGCTACTAACTAATTGGAGGGTCACCTAAAATTACGTCGACAGGCTCGGTTCATAAGTTTTAAGTTTTACCTCTTCATTTGAAGAAATAAAACATAATTCTACATTTTTCAGAAAATCCTTAGACCTAGACTCTTTCATTATGGTGTTGTACAGTGTGTAGACATTGTCGTGCCAATATTTAACAATATGATACTTTTTACTCAGTTTTTTTTACTTCAAGAAATTGTTCTCACCTCTATATCTCTCCAAAAAGACTTTAACACAAGAAAGGTTAAAAAGGTCTTAAATATATCTAAAAAACGATTGAACACAATTACGCACTGCATGAGCTAAAGAAACCGATTAATCCAAAAAATACGATTTCACGCTTTTTCGCTTCTTTCACCACTTTAACACAAGAATATTAGGAAACGGTCAAAAAATCTAAAAATACCAAAATTTATAAAATAAAATTTGTATTTTTTACAACTTTAATTGTTTCTTTTTTTGTTGCCAATTATTTTTTTGTGTTGGGTTCCCTAAGAATTGTAAAAAATTGAATAAAAGAAATGTGTGAAAGATATAGCTTGAAGGATGGGTTGAACAATAGACTCTACGGATGAGAGGATGGGAAGCTTTAAAAAGGATTTATGCTCAGATTATATAAAAATCAGGGGGACCGGAGATTTACAAAATATATACTTTTTAGTTATATATTTGTTTGTGGAAAAAAACCCAAATTATTGAAAATAATTTTGTGAAGAATAACACGAATAGTAAAGGTGTTAACCTTTTAATGTTTTATATTAATCTCAAATCAATACTTGGTAAGATAAGGCTACATGCTTTAACTCTTCTATACAATATATTTGAACTAATGGATCGGGGTGGTGGTGGTGGGGGGGGGCCGGGGCTGACATTTGATTTATAGATATTGATAACGCAAAAATAATTGTTGAAGAAGTAATGTTAATTGAAGGACTAGAGATGTATTTCCAAGTGAGTTGTTCAAAGAATTCTAACTACTGAGAATCGTCATGATAGATGTGAAACATTATGTTAAGTATAATTCTTTTTTAATAAAAAATGTGAAGTTAAAAACTGAAATAAATAAAAATGTATATATATATATACAAATACAAATACAAACTGAACATAGATGCAGCCTGGGAAAGTTGTATAAGAAAGGCGGAAATAGTTAAGTATATTGTGTATAGTGGATTAAGTATATACCTTCATATTTAATGTTTATTTAGAACTTTAGAATTGTACTCAGTAATAGTGCAAGCTTAAATCAAACCGAGACTAAAAATGGTAGTAAAAATATACGAAATGCATTTTAAGCTCACTGTAAAGCTGTCCTTTATTTAGAACATACTAATATTATTTGGCAGATGACAGACAAAAGAACTAATTTTTTGCCAGAAACTATGTTTTATTTTATTAGAATTATCAAAGCTGTACACTGTACACTATCAGGCTGCAAAGGAAGGGAATAGATATTGTTCTGCAAGACCTCCAGCTGCCGCTGTATACTGTAATATTGATTTCTAAATTAAAATTTTAAGGAAATTTCGGGATATATATTTTGAAATGCAACACAAATTTAATTACTTTACCTAACACATATCCTTATATTTATGTAAAAAAAATTGAAGACTTGTTATAACATCTATTCGTCTTTCAACTTATTTTACTTCGTAATTGTTGTATTTTCAGCAATCTTATTCTCTTCATTCTCATGAGCATCTTGGGTAGAAGCAGCTGTTGAATTACAGTAAGCAACAAAATTGTCTCAAGCCTTTAAAAGAAGATATTTTAAAATGAGTTAATTTTTTAAAGAATTTGTTTCTTGCCTGTTACGGAACACATGCTTTGTAGAACTTCTTCTTCAAGAGATGAAACTTTTAGAGAGGTTGGTGAAGAGGATTTATCTGGTTTAGCTGTAGAAGATGCTTGATTTTCTACAGAAGATGATTTACTATATTCCTTGAAATCTCCGTGAGAAATGCTTCTTTTAATGTTACGACTGATGATCACATTGTTAACCTGAACCAATGATTCCCCAGGTGTCCAGTCAGCCCCTGTACCTCTTAGTTTATCCCAGGCCTCCTCTTTATCACAAGCTATGGCTCCAAGAACAACTCGAACTGGCTCGGACATATCGTAGCCCAGATTGTCATCGCAGTAGTACATCATAACAATCTCGCCTTCTCTGTCAATGACAAACCCTGAGTTGGCAGCCACATGATGAGCATTGTGTAAAACTTGATACCTTCGGCAGATTTCTCCATTTTTATCACTTACAAGTGGAATGTTTGTGTTTTTCACCCCTCCATTTTCAACATTTAGCTCAGCATAGGCAACATGAGACTCAACAGAATCTGTGGAAACTGCAAGAACAGCACAGTCGTCTGGCAAAGTATTTTTCAGCCGAGATATTTGAATTAACTGTGTGGTTATCACTGCTCCAAAATCCTCAGGATAAAAGATGAGAATCACATAGTGACCTCTGTAACTGTTTAGATCAATGTCTTCCACCTTCCCGTTGATATAGGCTGGAGCTGTAAAACGAGGAGCATCCTGTCCTGGCTGCATTTGTTTTGTCAAAATCTGTGTTCGCGGATTTGTTAAGTCTTGAATTCGCGGGTTTTCCATTTTTAAAGTAAACTTTTAATATTTTTTTTGCCATTACGTTTTGAAATCAATACCAGGATAAAAGAATTAAAGTTAATAAATATCTTTCAATTTAACAATGATGACCAAACCTATTTGCAATTAGCTGAAAAATAAATCAAAAGACAAATCAAGTAAAAATTTGAAGAATGAAAACACATACTGATTCAGATTGATAAAAAAGAATAAGTACATATATTTGTGATTTCCTGATTTCCTGATTTTCTTTACATCATTCTCATTCTTAGAAAATCTGGTGTTGCGGCGCTCGGCCCAAAATTTGGCCATTCTAATCTAACAAATATAAATGTTGAGGAACAAAATATGTATTCTGATTCCCAATTAAATCTATAAGAAAGTGTTTGGGGGATTCAGATTATGATTTTAAAGCATTTAAAATGCATGAATTTACCAAAGAACAGATTTTCAGATCTCTTTTACAGTTTCTTGCTTCAAGAAAAATGTTAAAAACAATATTATAAAATTTTAGATATCCTATTTCTTTTTGGCAATTTTTTTAAATTTTGATGCTTAAAATAACGATTTAAACTATTAGATTTGTTTACGACAATGGACCTGGTATCCGCCCCCCACTCCTCGGACTATCTCCCTCTCTCCTACTTACATCTTGAAACATATTAGAGGAGGAGAGGGGTTGGGCTACAGGGCGGGGGGGGGGGGGTAAATCGTATTCTTCTAATTTTTAAACTACTAATATAGTTTTGCCAAAAAAAACTTGGATTTGAATTACAAAGAGGTAAGGTTAGATTTTCTCTAAATTCTAAGCTTGCTGATTTGTAAAGCCTGCAGTGAGTGCAATATAAACCATTAAACTTTATACATTCAATAAAACACGAACATAAGATGAAATTAAGGATCTATTAAACTAAATTAGAATAAAATAGAATATATTTAGAGTGGTTAATGGCTGAGAGGTTAAAGACAGCCAAATGAATATACAGGGTTACCCGCAGTAGATTGACTTCACATACGACTGAACATAATTTTTTCTTATTGCAGTTTCTTTCTTGACCCCCTTTTTGCCTCAAATTTTGGGTGGGGAACCACGGGAACGTTTATGCTTTGTTTACAAATTCTATGTAGTGTAGGTTAAACTTTATAGAGAAATTTAGTTTCCAGACAACGCTGGGTTCCAAAGCTATATTATTGTTATATTCTAAGATTGTATATCGTTCACCCTGTATTTTAAACACTTTTTATATTTACTGGACTGTCAAAGTGCCATTAGGGATTCACAACCAAACCTTTTTAACCTAAACTCTTCAATTGAGTTTAATTAGGCCTATAGAAAAAAATATCTTAAATTTCCTTACTATATTTGCCCATATATATCTGCCTATATATATAACTGTCTATCTATATATCTGCCTATCTATATCTGCCAATCTATATCTGCCTCTATCTTATAATGATCTATCCTAATCTATATATATATATATATCTATCTATGTATATCTATATTTCTATACATCTAGCTATCTATTCGAATATGTATATATTAACACATCTTATTCTTGCAATAACAGGAGTTGCCAAGTTTCAAACCTGTGCAAAATGCTGCGAAAATTATGCAAATTTGAAACAATTTTGAGATGCAACCTTTATCACTCGCTGGAAAAGGATTTTAAGATCACTTAGAAACCTTTAAACTTCTAAATTGTTTTTCAGAAAGCGGGTTAACCCAGATTCGTTTCGAGAAATTGGTTTAATCCGAAATTTTTTCGAAAATCGGTTTAACCCTGATTATTTGTTTAAGGTAAGTTCAGCCATATTTTCATATTTATTATTTTGACAATAATTTTATTTTTAGAAATTGATTCAACCCTAATTCTTATTCTGAATCGGTTTATTTCTTATTCTAATTGTGAATTGGTTTTATCCTATTTTTTTCGGAATCGGCTTAACCCTAATTCTAATTCGGAATCGGTTCAACCCTATTTTTTTACGGAATCGGTGTCCTTGTCTATGCATCGTCGATGAATGCAACGGAAGCACTAAAAGTCAAGTTCCAAAATTTTCATTTGCAAAAAATAAATTTGGTATTTGCTATCACACCATATTTTGCAATGCAAGCTAATATTCTATTCGAAAATGTGCGAAAATGTTTTCCCCTTTAAGCAGAATATTGAAATAGTCTGAAAATTATACAAATTAATTTAACGTTTCTTTAAACACAGTCTGTAATGAGAAAACTAATTAATGCAAAAATTAAAGTTTTGCAATAAAAAAAAAACAATTTTTGCAAAGAGAGGAGAATGGTTTTGCGAACTGGTAAAGTACCGATGCATAAATGAGTAATTTTAACAAGAAATTGGTCTGAGAAGATTAAAGGTATAGAGGAGGGAGGGATGGGTAGGTAGGCAGGGGAGGGTAAGGAGGGAGGGATGGTTAGGTAGGCAGGGGAGGGAGGGTAAGGAGGGAGGGATGGGTAGGCAGGGGAGGGAGGGTAAAGGGGGGGAGAAAATAAGAGGAAGAAAAGGGGGAGGAGAACAAAATTTACTTATTCTTATTTAGAAAAAGATTTGAAAGAAATGGCTTATTTCAACGAAATAACAAAAAATTCAAAAAAAAAATAAAAAATTTAAAAATAAAAATTGTTGTGTTTGGAAAATTAATTAAGAAATAAGAAAATAAAAATATTTTACTTGTAAAAATATGGATATTAGAAATATGTATTTTTCCTAAAAGTATGTATAACGATTTGAAACAAAACTCCTTCTAATTTTTCAGATTATGATTTTAAAGCATTTAAAATGCATGAATTTACCAAAGAACAGATTTTCAGATCTCTTTTACAGTTTCTTGCTTCAAGAAAAATGTTAAAAACAATATTATAAAATTTTAGATATCCTATTTCTTTTTGGCAATTTTTTTANCCCCCCGGCCTTGTTTTCATTAGAGAAATATGTATATGTACAATACATAAATCGTAGATAAATCTGATAGTGTAATTTACACGTGTATCAAATCCTTTAAACCAATCTAAGAATGATCTAACTTTAAACATCACATACAAACTTTACATTTAATGACTCATTAATGACTCATTAATTAGTCATAAATGAGCCGAACTAAAGTTAAGAAGATTAGGATTCCTTTGATAATGGGGTAATTAACATTTATAATAATCATGCCACAGATAATAAAGTCAACAGCTCACAGCATTTATTTATTAAAGGGACTGTAGGCATATTTCAACCTAGAGACATGTCGTATTCACAACAGTACCGTTTAAACCTGAAACTGGCCAATGATAAATGAGATATTCTATTTATCTAGCGTAAACTTTAATTGTTCCTCCTTTTTTAAATTGGCTTGCAGAGAAAATGAAGGAATTTGTCAGAATTAAACAAGTTTTAAGATAGAAAAGGGAAGAAAGCTTCTTTATTGTATTGATGGGTACTTAGAAATTATGTCATACTGTCCCTTTATCATTTATACTTATCATGATAGAGATAATAAAGTAAACAGTTCCCATGTATGTATTCATTTATCCATTTATTTGTGGATTATTTCAGAAGTAATGCTGTATTAATAATATATCATGTGAACTCTAATAGAATACAATTCTATCATGCAATACTTAGTTTTCAACATTGCTAAATCTGTCATGTGTTTTTCATGTTTTCATATGGTCCTTCAGTTCATTTTCATACTTTCATGTTATGTTTTTGTCTTTTAAAATCAACATTGTGCGTTATTTTCATGTTTTCTCGGGGTCGGGGTCATGTTATCGTGCTATCGTGCTATCATGTTATCATGTTGTCATGTTATCATGTTATCATGTTATCATGTTATTGTTTTATCAATTTATCATGTTATTATGTTATCAATTATCATATTGGCAAGTTCTCATGTTTTTATGCTTTCACACACTATTTCTATATTTTTTATTTTCTTGTTATCATGTTCTCATATTGTTGTTATCATATTGGCATATTTGCATGCTATCATGATATCAGGATTTCATTTTATTATGTTATCGTGTTATCTTTATAGCATATTATCAAGGTGTCATGTTTAACATGTTGTCATGTTGTTATGTTGTCATTTTATCATGTTTATCATGTCATGTTTTCATGTTATAATGTTTATAATGTTATGTTTTCATGTTGGAATGTTATCATGTTTATTATGTTATTTTATTATTATTTTTTTGTATTGTCATATTATCATATTGTCATATATATACATATATAATCATATGTTAACATTTTATTATGTTTTCATCTTATCATTGTCTGCGTGACCTGTCATAAATTATTTTTGTTGACCCGTTTTCGGGTTGTCAATTGTCATGTCATTTTTCATGTCGTCAGGTATTGATTCTTATGTTCATAAGATTTTATTTTATTAGAGATCGTTCTACTGTCATGCTGTTTTAGTTTAAATTTGCTATTTTGTCAGGCTGTCATGTTTTCCTAACTTGTTGCGATATGTTTTAATATTTGTTACCCCTTCTACCCCCTCCCCAAATCTGAAATGTATATGTGTTTAATTAGATCCTACACGTTGGATTATCACGGCTGATTTCACAAGGGTATTTACAAGAATTCGCATGTTCGTTCTAAATAGTTTAAAATATGCATGGGGCTTTCAACCCATTTCAATATATTATCAGTTATATCTCAACATAAGGTTCATTTTAGACTGAATTACTTGTTCGAATTTGCAATCGCGTTTTCATGTTACCGTTAAAAAAAAAACATTTCAAGCTTTTAAAAATGTGTTTCTCAGTTCTCTAAATCAGGGCACATATGATCTAATACTAAATTATTAGATACAGTCCTAATCGGAAAGACTCGGAATTAATTTTCAATCAATCAGACGACTCTACAATCTAATCTTACAAATATGATTGATGAAACGAGAATCAAAAATAGCTGACGTCCTGCCAGTTCCAAAATGTGGTCTGTCTTTT